TAAAAGCTTTAAGATGCATTTTGGTCATTAATGGGGCTGCAGTTAACTCATCTTCATTATTCATTAATCTGATGATTCTTTTTTTGGATTAATCAACTAAATGTTTGGTCTACAAAATATCAGAAAATAGCAACAACAGAAATGTCCATTCGAATATATATTACAACACCCACGGTGATGTGAAGCCAGTCTGCTGTAAAGACAATGAAAAACAGCAAATCTGTGAAATTGAGGAGCTGGACTGGAGGAACGTTTAATATCTTTGCTTGATAATTGACTTAAAGAATGAAACCAAATAGTTTCCGTTGGTGGATTAAATATGAATTGCCTAACTGTTTCAGCTCTAGTCAAAAACAACACATGTCACAGCTCACTTTGTAAAAAACAAACAGGTATATTTCACAACCCTGCAAACTGATTTCATACTGAGCACCCTGCTGTGTTGCTCACTCTCACACAAAGACCTTTGTGACATCACATGTTGTAACGTTGACGGCGCAGTCAGAAATGACCACAACAGGAAACAATACGAGGCGTGACCAGTGGATGTATAAAGTTTTTTGAATCTGCTCTTTTGATTTACAGAATGTGATTTTACTGGAAAAACATTTCCAGAAGAACGAAATGTTCAGACGAAGGCTTTGACATGTGTAAATGATAAAATAGTGATTAACTATAGTAAATAAGAAACCACTTTTGGTTGTGTTTGACAATATTTGATACTGCGTCACTATCACTGACCGTTGCATACTAATCAATTAATTAAGTTGTGTGTCCACCACGAAAAAGGATCATAATTGACTTTTTTTTGGTATTGTTTTGTGCTGCAAGACGTGAAAAAAAAGGACAATTCGTATCCATGTACATAAAACTAATAATATGTACTTCCTGTCTATTTCCCACCATGAAACTGGGACGTTCATTCAGAATATGATTTGAGTATTATTGGCTACTATAGAATATGCATATCCCAGGTATAATAATCTAACAATACAATAAAAAATACAAGTTTAACGTGCTTGAAGAATGAATAAATTAATAAGAACAGAGAGACTCACGCACCAACATATGAATAAGGGGAGCACTGACACTTATTTTCTTTCCACTTTAAGAACTGATTTTTATGTCAATTATTAATTATTTTTCGATGGTGTCATGCGACACGTTGCTGTTGTATGAAGTCAAGATGAAGCCCACTACTGCTGCCGTAGAGCTTTCTGTGTACGGGTTAAGGAAGGTGGAGAGTAGAGCAGAAAATGTAAGCTACTTTTTTTGTCGTTGCCATGCTTTGGACTTGTTTTAATGATAAACAATTCAGACTAGCCTCCTCCCTGCTGGCACTGTTAAAGTCAGTCCAAACTGCAGAGGAGGGAAATAAAACCTGCTGTAAAAACCAACGGAAATTTGGCAGAGATGGATTTGCCAAACCCCTCAGCTGGCCTCACAGCCATGAGACCTGAATGTGGAGTATTGTTGTTTTACTGTTGACTAATTGCTCTGGTTCCTGCTGGTGTGTGTGTGTGTGTGGGGGGGGGGGGGGGGGATAAACTGTGTGTATGAGTGTGTGTTGAATAAATTAATTGACATTCACATTTGCTTAGTCGTCTATTAAAGTAAACTCTTTTTTTGACAGGTTCTTTTTTCCATCAGTGTAATTTAAAATGACAAAGACATTCAACATCAATCCATCCTTCTGTCCAGAACAAGATAAACCTTGACAGTTGTTAGCCTGACTGCCATTTTGGATGTTCATGGACCCAAGAAGATAATTCCCAGGCGTGAGGTTTTTTTTTCCGACTAAGGCAGGACATGCCGTACTCCTCCTCTGATTGGCTTACCCTGATATTCTTACCCTAACCATTCTTAATCCAGTACTAGCCAATCAGAGGCAGGGAGATGTATACCTTCGCCATAGTAGGATTCGTACTTTACAAATGTTTTGTTAATAAATTCAGTATGAACTCAATGCAAAAACAAGTTAAACTCAACTAATGTCAAAGATGCTGTCATGCTGTGAGGAGTAGTATACACTGTCGCCTCTCGGGGCCACTACTGAGGCTTTAAGCTTTTAGCTCTCAGAAACAATTACCCTAGATTGCGAACATTGTTTATCTAAAAAGTGCTAAGTTTCAAAAAGATTGCAACTAGAACATGATGCAGCATCCAAGGCGCTTGTTTGACAAAATCAAGGGAGGAAGAAAAGAAAATCTAGAGGAAACAGACAAAAATGCAAAGAGAGGATGTCTGTTGTTGCTGTTGTGTCTACATTAATTTCATTTAGATCTGCTGGAGGGTTTTTTCGTATGAGCAGAGTTCAGTGTGCAAAAGTGGAACACTAGATCTCATACTGACTGGCTTATGAAACATGAAGCGGTGTAGTTGACTGTCAGCCGTGTTTACATTGGTGGTTTCCTGGCCTACGGAGGAAAGAGCCGGTGACTCACGCATGTATGCTGACAGACCGGAGGTGTTGTGTAAAGTATGGAGGGTTCAGGTGTGAGCGTAGTTAGCTCGTAGCTGTGAGGAAGGGGAAGTGCAAGAAAAGATGAGGAAAAATCGAAATAAGGTGATTATATGTATGTTGTACGAACATGAAAATAATAGTTGTTTAAACTAAGCATCTCGTTAAATCAATTTATACATTTCAGTTATGCAAACAATAATACAAGTTGGCTCAACTAAGCATCTTGCTGAATTAACTTATCTTCTTGAGGCAGCCAGGTAACTTTTTCAGCAAGAGTTCATCTTAGTTGCAATGTTAAGTTCATCAAAGAACATTCAGAATGCAGCTTTATTCAATTTCAAAACATACAGTGGCCATTTTGTTATGAATCTACGTATCAAAAAATAAGACGGTGATCATATGTGTGGAGTTATTATCACTGTGACAGAAAGTATTAGTCATGATAATTTGTTTGAGTATCGTTAGACCAGCTTGATTTAATCAACAGCATCTCCGCCACACTTCACCTGCCCCGTTGTTGAGTCATCGCTGCACTACAAAGACATAATGAGAAGGCAGGCCTTGTTTACACCCACATTATGTAAATTCCATTCCCGATCATGAAGATTAAAAACATCTGTTCGTGCTGAACCAGAACACATTTGTATAACTACTTACTGGACATCTCAGGCTTTTCCCCTTTTCATGTGAGTTCAGGGTCGAAGTGACAAAAGAAAAAAAAATAAACTGAGCTCATGTTGCTTCAGGCTCCACAAAGGGGGCCATGAGTTTCTGTTTCTGCGTATCTGTGGGAGGATAATGTGGTTTGAATCCTGCTGTTCACACCATCGCATTACAAAACCTCAGATACATTTTCGGGGCGGTCTGGGTAGTGTTACCACCATTTACATTTCTTGTGGGAAAGCAGACCAAGCTAAATTATTTAGCCCTCTCGTGAGCCTGGTCCGAGCCAGAGCTCCGACTTTTAGCTGTTCCCGCTATAACCATGAGCATGAAAACCAAGGGTCCTGCCGATATAGGGGCCAATTTGGATTCCTGCCATTTGTGGAAGAAGAGCTCTTTAATGAAGTAAAGGTAGCAATACCACAATGTCTACATTGTGGTATTGCTACCTTTATTGCTACCTTTACTGAATAAAGCACCATTCTGAATGTTCTTTGATGTTGATGAATCGTTTTTATGTAGCACTGTTAAAAAATAGAAGCTTTAGTTGTGTGGGCAAATTACACAGTATCATTTCTTGAATTAATTTAACATTGCAACTAAGATGAAGTTTTGCCGAAAAAGTTACCTGGCTGCCTTAAAAAGATAAGTTAATTCAGCAAGATGCTTAGTCGAGCCAACTTTTATTTTCATGTTCGGACAACTCAAGAAATCAATACAAGTTTGTTGTTTAGCTAATTATTCTATGTTGCCTCAACTAGGCTTCAAGTTTGTACGACTTCAAATGTATTCTTGGTTTCACAAAAAAAAACTTGATTTAACTTAAAGTATAAAGTTGATGGAACTATTTTGTCAGCTTTCATTTGTCATCTCAACTATTTCTTCTAAGTTTAATGAACTAAAGTTTCTTAGCTTCCCTAAGTCAACATTTAAGTCAGCCAGGTTACAAATTATTTTAAGTTGAACAAGCTTGTTCATTTTTACAAGTAAAAGTCTTGCGTTCAAAATAATAAAAAGTGCTAAAGTATCAGCCTCAAAATATACTTAAAGTTTCAAAAGTAAAAGTACCCATTCTGCAGAAGAATATGTATTTAAACATTGGATTATAATTATTGATGCATTAAGGTTTGGCATTTACTGACATCAGAAGTGGAATGGGCCTTTTTAAAAACAAATGAATACTGTCATCTGCTGGTGAAAACACAGAGCTGCACCAGACGTTGATCTGGTAGTATTGGCTACTGGAGTAATACTCCTGGGACCCTCAAGGATATATGAATACAAGTAAGTGTGGAGTCTATGATCAGAATTTAAAACCCTTACAAGAATTATTATAGTGGTCATTCTTATGGGGAAAATATTGCATTTCATCACACAAGTATTTAATTACAAAACCCAAATGATTAGTCAATTTATCAAATAGTGGATTGTCATCCATTAGTTAAGAGTTTTATGTTTTCAATCAAAAATATGCCATTTGCTGGTTCTATCTTATCAAATTTGAGTATTTAAAACTTTTCTTGATAAACTGACTTTTCGTTATTAACTGAATGTCTTTGAGTTTGGGACTGATGGTCAGATAAAACAAGCAGTTTTAATATGTCACTGCTTTGTTTTAACTTTTGTGAAGTCTTTTTTATTTTAAAAAATAAATCTATGAATATACATTCATCTGCGATGTATTGTAATTATATTTTCAGACATGTTTTATTCATCAAAAAAAATTAAAAATAATCAGGCATTAACAAGACATCCTTTAACGTATGAGCCAAGACTCAGGAAAGGCCCCCACTCCCTCTGACGTGTAATTCAGGCGCCTGGTAGCGGTGATTTCTCGGGTCAGGTCGGAGGGTTTTTGGAGGACAGTGGAATCATGGCCCTGAGGGTGATCCGGCTGGTCGTCCCATCGGGAGCGACTGCTTTTAACGCGGTGAACGCTGCTCAGAAGGTAAGAAACAGGAAATACACGGACTCTCATTTCTCACTGCAACACGAGTGTGTCAAGTTCACAAGGGCAAGCTAACTTCGCTAGCTAGCTGCCTAGCCGCTAGCATCACATGCTGCTGGTTTGTTTATAATGTTGTTGACAGTTGAGAGCCAAGAAAACAAGCTGTCAGTACATCTGAGTACATTTTAAATGATGTTGTATCGACGCTTACACGACGTTCTCAGTCAAACATGTCGACAGCCACCTTTAGATGATGCTATCTGGTTAAAGCTAGCCAGTCTCGATGTTGCCAAATGCAGAGTTTCAACCAAATAATTGCCAATTTAAAGTCTGTTTACTTTCCTTTGAGACAAATGAGGTTGACATAATGTAATACCAGATTCAGTGTTATTGTCATTGCACAGAGATGACCACAATGAAATGTAGTTCAGCATCTAAGTGCAGAGTAATGCACAGAATACGATATAGAAATGTGGAATTAATAGTAAGGCAGTATTACCGGGTATTCTATGATAGAATCATATGTGTATGATAGAATCATACACATATGATTCTATGTGTGTGTGATTTTTAGAGCAAGAAATCTAAACCTGTCCACACTTTTAACAGATGATCCATGGATGGAAATGGGAATATCATTTCCTCTTCTTCGTGAAGTTAACAAGGATTTCTTTCTTCCTAATGACATTTAGAGGTTTGTTATCATGGCACCATGTGGTTGGTTCTTCCACTTCCCTCCTATAGGCTCTCTCATCGCTGTCACATTTAGACCAATCACTGGTGTGTCCTCTGCGCATTTTATGACGCTGTTGTTTTCATGTTTGGCCAAGTCATGTGTAAACAGACCGTAAACTAGGGGACTGAGACAGCAGCCCTCAGGCTTTTTCATTACAGCTCAATATAATTCAACAGCTTCCCAAACTACAGCCTTCAGAATAACCATATAGTTGAATCAACACCACTCCAATACAGTTTATGATAAAAACCTTCATGAAGGCAGGATTCATTGCCGGGCTGTTTAGAGTACAGAAACCAGCAAGTCACCACTGCTTGTAGTCTAATTGTCCCATTTTCAGTGAACTATATTGCGAATTGTTTGTTGTCACTAAAAATAAGTTTTCAAAAGGAGAATACTAAAACAATAACAACCGTTAAACTGTATATTCTATAGTGTTGTCCCACCGAGCACAGCAGGCAAATGTGTCGGGTCTCAGTTTATTGGTGTGCTGCCTACTTTGTAATTTGCATTAATTGCTCAGTTGTTTGGTAATATGTACCAGAAATGGCTGAGGCCCTGTGGTTGTTTGTGTATTCTACATTTGAGTTGACATTTTCACAAACTGGCAGCAAACATGTGGCAGCAAGGTGCTTCTGTGTATCAGCTGGTTGTGTTTCTTCTTGGGCCTGTGTGGATTAATCTGGCTCTGCTCTGTTTACCCCGATGTTATCGATTAAAAGTGTTGCTTTCTTTTTGTTTTGTCCTCCAGGCAAGTGTTCACACGAGCCCGGTGAGAAGCCTGCGCTACGGCTGGTTGGCCTACGCACTGGGCGAGAGGACAACGCCGCGGTTAAAGCAGAACAGCAGAATCATCACCCTGGAGGGCAACTTGTCCTCGGGGAAAGGAGCGCTGGCCCAGAAGCTGGCCGATAAGCTGGGTAACTATCTCACTGTAGGGATCCCCCACGAGGGTTCACCAGGACAATCGGTCCACATGTGAACGCAGCCATCGACTGAGCTGCTTGGATAATTGTGGGAGGTATTTCTGTTGAAAAACAATAACTTCTAGTTCCGTATGCACAGGGATGCTCTACATGCCCGAGGCGGACACGTTCTACTTGGACAAGATGACCGGGGAGAAGCAGCCGCTTCCCGTCGACTTCAACGGGATGTGCAGCCTGGAGAAGTTCTACACGGAGCCCAAAGCCGCCGACGGAAACAGCTACAGACTGCAGATGTGGATGTACACCATGAGGTTGCTCCAGTACGCCGACGCCATCGAACACCTGCTCACAACAGGTAGCACCGGCCCAGGGATGTACCGCAGTGTCCAGCCGAGTCATTCTACATGGCAAAACAGTAGATTTATACACATGTTACAACCCACGTGTGTGACTGTTGTATGTAATCAAGTTAGCAGCCCTTGTGATATCAGTAGACTGACTTTTTTTATGAACTGAATCACTCACCTACCTCCTGATCTTCTGTGTTTTTAAGGCCAAGGAGTGATCCTGGAGCGTTCTCCCTTCAGTGACTTTGTGTTCCTGGAGGCCATGTTCAAAGAGGGCTACATCAGGAAGGAGTGTGAGTATCCAGCGTCACGAACAAAGATGCAGGCGAACGGTCCTGATTATCTTAGTAGCCTCTAATATAAGACAATATGGACGGGGATTTCCCAATTAGGTTTGGTTGTCACCTCATTTGATTTCAGTTCGATAAAAATCCCCAAAATAAACGTTAAGTTTGTTTACGACGTCTTAAAAAATGTCCCGTGGCCCGCAGGTGTGCAGCACTACAATGAGATCAAAGGCATCAGCATCTGTGAGTTCCTGCCTCCACACATCGTCATCTACGTCGACCTGCCAGCTGAGGAGGTGCAGAAGAAGCTGAAGCAGAGCGGCAAGGTAGAGAGACGCAGTCGCTGAAACCACTGGATACTGTATCACATACTGTCACACTGTCATCTCTGCGTCACACTGTCATCTCTGCAACATACTGTCACACTGTCCCAATATTTCAGTCTCAACTTTAAAGAGAGGATCACTTTCCAGTTGGAAATACTGAACCAAAAAAACACCTTTTAATACGATGTAGATATAAAGAGGATAGTAAGAAGTGGGAAGTTTTAATCATTTATTAAAAAGGAACCTCTCTATTGTCAGTCCTATCTTCAGAATGTTCCCCTGACGTATCTGAAGAGCATCGAGGACAGCTACAAGAAGTCTTTTATGCCCAATATCAGGTGAGTGAAACACATGTGTCAAATGACGCATGAATCACACATGATTCTTATGTGTTTTGATGTTCAAAGCTCCGAGCTAGTTCGTGGGCACTTTTCTTACCTCGCCGAGGTTTGTGTGTTTGTCTCCTTTAGCGCCACATCAGAACTGCTCGCTTATGATACAACCCAAGCCCAAGATGTCGAGAGGGTAAGACGAGAGTGGAGCAGCTGGTTAAATGATCATTGTACGCACTATTCCTGTAGACGGCGTATTCATTGTGTGACGTCCACAGGTGGCAGAGGACATCGATTACCTGAAGTTTGAGAAAGGCCCGTGGCTGGAGCAGGACGACGTCACCTACCACCACATGAGGATGCTGTGAGTTCTTGATCGATGTTTAGACGCTTCCCACATTTAAATGCAAATTACACGGAGGAAGAACTCCAAGCGGGTTGAGTCAGATGCACGACCCCAGCCTCTTGTTTGTCACACTCATTATGGATAAATATGCAAAGTACCTGAAACGAATCACGCAGACAACTTTAAATGCAGATTCTCCCTGATTGCATTTTCTATGCCGTCCTCCACCCGTAACTCAGCATGCAGACGTTTGCTATGAGCCGCTGTTATTGCCCTCTTCTTATTCTCCTGTGTTTTTACAGCGTGGAAGACAAACAGAAGGTGGCCACCCTGACCCACATACCGAAGTTTCTGCCTGAGATCACCATCGGGGCCCACGACTACGATGAGAAATACTACGCCTATAGAGCGGTATGTAACGACGAAAGGATCCTTTTAAGAATCATAATTTGGTTGTATAGATGTGATGAACGATGGTGACAGGAGAGTCTGAGCGCACAAAGCACGGCAAACGGCACGCTGTGGTCAGTCCCCCTCGGTTAACAGCAGCGGCCGGGGGTCCCGTACCTGTCTGCAGGGACAGAGGGGCCCTCAGAGTCCGCTGTCCCGGGCGGAGCCTTTCCAAGGATTCTTAGATGCTTTAGAAACACGAGGTCTTAAACATCTTCATTTGAGAAAATATGTAGCAGCCAAATCAAATAGTTTACAGGATACTCAACCTTTGTTTCTTTATAATACATTTAATACTGGACAAAGGCAATAAAGTCGTCCATGGATATGAGTTTAATAAAGATTTGATGAATCGCCCGGCCCTTAAATATACAGAATTAAAGATGTTAAGAGTCTTTGATCATCTTATATGTCGGCCGATGTATCAGCTGCTTTGAGTTCACACTAAACAAAGAATAATAAATGATCATGTTTCATAACTAATACTGATGAATGTAACCGAGTCTGTTCTGCCCTCACGCTGAACCCACAGCTGTAGGAGTTGTGTTTTATCATTATCTGAGGATGTTGTTTCTCTGTGATGATCCCTTTATTAAAATAAATATCATATTCAGGCACTCTGCCTTCGTCGCCAGCGTTCTCCTATCGAATACTTTCTGTTCCTCGAGCCTTTGATCCGTGTGACGCACCATCGGCGCGATGGAACTGATTTCCCTCCGCTGAAATATCGAGCGACGCGTAGCTTCAACAAGGCAAATGCCAGACATGGAATATTCCACGAGGCTTTTTGGTATCATCAGTCTTGCAGGGAAACATTTGAGTCTGACCTTTTCTGTTTATTGACTGGAGACTTTTTTGTCTCTCCTTTTGCTGCTAAAAACCGTGGTGCGTAATGCTACAGGAGGCTGTGACCTGACATTTAGCTCTGAGCCTTGATCTCAGTGGAGAGAATGAGAACTGTGACGTAATCTCCCTCCGCGCGCTGGAGACGACAAAGTGAAGTCGTGGAAGGACGTTTTACAACTCGTGTAGTACAACCTCCACTGAATTTATCATAAAACATTGAATAACCGTCAAAAAACATGAAGGAATTCCATTTCAAATCATGTTATTTGTGTTTTCTACTCTCATAACTGATTCATCTTCTATTAAAATTGAGTAGTTTTCTGCTGATCAAATAAACAACCTTCCTGCATCATGAATTCTACGTCTTTATATTCAGTGTTAAAAATACAGAAATTAACTCTGCAGGCGACCCAGTCCTGATTAGATGCTTTCAGCTATTTCAATTAGAATATGTTCATTTGGAAATACAAAATGATTCTCCTGCATCAAGAACAAAAGCCCGTTCATCTTTAAGAAGCCAGAGCTGCTTAGTATGCCATTCTGCAACTCTGGTCCCTTTTAACTTTAATTGTCGATTTGTTTTTCTTGTCCTTGCAGCTCCCCGGGAAGAAGTATGCGTCCGGTTACAACGCAGATGTTGGAGACAAATCCATCTGGCTGAAGTGAATGAGTCCACAGCCCCCCCCCCACACCCCCACCCCCCCTGGCTGAGTGAACTCTTATTGATCCAGGTCTCTCCTGTTGTACGTCCTAAATAATATGTATGTATTGAAAGAATAAATTTTGAATCTACAAAATGTCTTTTCGTTTGTTCTGATTCGGGACGGCGAGATAATGGAAAGTTCTAGTTTCTTACTGAAACAAGGATGGGTCAGACTTGGTGCACGTGAGTCCCCGAGTCCTTAACGATTCTCCTCACCTCATCGTTGCAGCTCCTGGTGTAAATGTCCTTCAGGCAGGGCAGAGCACGGCCTGCTACTTGCTGTTTGCAGGAGGAGGCTCTTGTTCTAATTAAGAATTGATTGACCAACACAGATAGAAGGATAAAGCGGTCTCAGCAGCGTGGAGTAGAGCTCACCAGAGAGCTGTGGGGGGAATAAATCTCTAATAACGTGCTTCCCCGCTGCCAGATCTCAGCTCCCTCTTCACCACAACAGACCGGTGCTGCGCCCAATCTAATCTGTGCTAAAAATAAATTGCTCACCAGTGGATAGTGAATGGGTTGCAACACGTCGCTGCATATCAATGGCCTCAGAGCGACGGAGACACATGCAGCCTCTGCTGAGAGCCCTGTTCCTTTTATACTTAAGAATATGAGAGGTGTAGTCAGTTATTTATAGATTAGTGGCAGCACTTTAAAACATTCTGTGACTAACTGGAATAGAGTGTAAAGATTTCAGAGCTGGAGTAATGTGCTCTGTTCTTTTAGTCCTGGGTAAAGCTAGCTGGAGCAGCTTCATGCTCCCTTTGGGAGGACCAGTTAAGAGGCCATTGCAGTCGGTCCACACGTACTGGAAATAAAAGCAGGGCTGGTCTTCTCTCGGCCATTTCGGGACACCAAGCCGTTGATTCTGGCGATTCCAAGATGGCAAGTTCTCCTTGAGGCAGGACAAGTTCTGTGAGGACGCGATTTGTTGAAGTGTAACCCCAAATTAATCAGTAAATGTTCGGTCAATAGCGTTTCCATTCAGTGTTGCTTTCCCCCATCAATCCAACGATGCTCTTTCTGGTCCCTCTATGATCATCCATGACTAGATATCTTGTAAACGAGCTTAGTAACGGTGATTGATTTCAATTTAAACCACAGTTCTCTGTTAGTTTAGCGACTATGATTTAAATTTTGTTTCATATTTATTCTCATTATCTACCCGAGATCTTCCTCGTTGCCAGTGTTTCGGTACAATTCGTAAAAAGAAAAAAAAGGTTTCATGAAATCTTAAGTAAATTGGGGAAAAAGAAACGTATGGTTTTACATTTTGTACGACCTCATCATTTCAAGAGACGGCTGGTTCGGCCTCTGCAGACCTTGAAGGTTGACAAAAGTTCTGCCTTCCACAGAAATGATGTTATTCTCGTTCCAACCCTTCCCAATGGAGCCCAGGGATCTCTGTCCGAAGGTTCCTGGGCCAAACACTCTGTGTTGAATGGGTGAAGCTGCTCAGAGCGATGGAGGAATTCTCCGTCTGAAGAGTTGCTATATCTCAGGTCTGGGAGACGGCTACATCCCTTATGACAAAGCCCGAGGAACTGAGCCAGAAATGATGGTGAAGGACAAGTCTCCTGAAGGCAGAAGGAATAAATGTGCTTGTTACAAAGTGCCAGGTAACACACAATACTGCTGCATGTATCTTAATTACCGTACGTCCCATGAAAACTGACCAACCCCCCAAAAAAAGTAAAGTGTGAACAAAAGCACTTTACCTTTACAGGTCGCTCAAAGTGTGAGAAAGAAAGAAATCAACTGTGGACAGTCAGCAGACAGCGGGGGGCCGGGGGCCTGCCAGGAGCTGAAAACAAAGTCCTGTCTACTTGCACTCCGCGGCTGCCAGAGCGCCAGGGCTGCTCAGACAAAGGCGGTGTGAATAATTGACAGCACAGCAGCTTGGTGCAGTCACATTGAACTAATGGAGGATGAAAAACATGAAGTCTGGGGAAGGGGAAGTTGGGTGCACGATGCGGTCTGGTATAATGTGACACGGAGGTCTTATCGCGACTGCGGGGGGAAAAAGGTCACATTTCAGAGGCGGGACAGATCTGGAAGCAGAGGAAAAAACCGCAGACAGGAGGAGAGAAAATAAATGCAGTGATGTCACATGTTGTCAGGGTGAAGCCAGAAAAACCCTCATAAACCCAGGAGAGGGTCTGGGTGAGACCGGCAACCAGCAAGCTGTATTAGAGTCCCAAGAGGCCTCACACCAGGTCTTTAACTGATGATTCACGCTGTTCTCATACACTGTTAGTAGCTATACCTTCAAATATCAATGCACTATAATTTGTATACAATCCATGTAATCCTGAGCCAGTACAGGTGACGCAGCAGAGAGCAGTACAGTCCACGTAGGTAGGAGGTCTGTATGGATGGGTGGGTCCCTTTGACCCCCGAGGCCGCTGTTCACGCCCCGTGTGAAACCAGAAACCAGTTCTGTCTATCATTGATTAAAACCATAATGAATATTCAATTCTAATTCCAATTATTTTGCACACAAGAATGTTTCGCTTTGTTCTGTCAGTATCCATTTATTATAATTGGTCAAGATGTAAACATATACTGTAAATACAAATCCCCTTCGTGGCCCAAGAGATTCAGTAAATCACAGTTAAAATATAAATAAAGAGTAGAATTTGGGAGATTAACAGAAAGAGGCGGTCATTAATCGGTGGTCTGACTCTGTATCAATACACTGAAAGGGTTTCTGGTTTTTGGAGGCAAATGATGGCTGCAGGAGCTTTGCCATGTGTTAATGATTTGGGGTTTTGACATCCCCGCGGATCACTTCACTAAAAGCCATCTTTAAACTTTCATCTAAAACTCACAGCTTCCAGGATTAAAACTAATTTAACGTCATACAGCAGGCTGATATTGAAGGTGTCGCACCAGAAAGCAGATTTCGCTGCGTTGAGACGCCTCGCAAGGACTCAGTGATGGAGCTTAGGGGAGGTTTATTGGTGCTTGGGTTCATTTCTCAGCTGCAGCGAGTTGTGGCTGCTGCTCGGCATCATGGGAGCCCCCGAGCCAGGAACAGAAAATCCCAGAGCAGGAGGGAAAAGGAAGATTAAATCACGGTAAGGCTAATTACCTAAGCACCTCGACTTAACCGTTGCCTGAAATCTTTTCATCGTGTCTTTTTCCAAGGTGTCTGTTGAGACGTGAAAGGCTGAAAAGGAAGCTGGTCTGTTGATCACCCATCATGCTTTAGTCCAGGGGCAGCAGATGGCAGTGTTGCTATCTGGATTCATTCCGTCTGAAGACAGTCTGTGCAACCCAGCATCCATGCCACCATACTATTTAGTGTGGCAGAAAAATATTTAGTATATCCCCAATACACAGTATGTCCAATGCAGTATGCCAAAAATACCAGGCTGTCCTACTGCATCCGGTTGCATTTTGTATTATAAAAGCTACAGTATGCAGTATACAGCACGTCTCAAGCGCAGAGAGTCAGATGCAGTGAGAAAAGGGTTTTAATGAAATACGAACACAACAGGGAATCCAAGGACGAGACAAGAGACGAGGGGGGGGGCAGGCAGACCGGGAACAGGACGAGCAAAAACGGGCGTGTAGGTACGAACAATGATCTGGCAGTGGGTGACTGGGAGGCAGGGGTTTAAATAATGGCTAGAACAGGTGAGGAGAGTTGTGCTGATGAGGGAGTGCTTGATTAGTGATCAGGGGCAGGTGAAGGGAGTTAGACTGGTGCTGAGGGAGTGGCTGACAGGTAGAGTGAGGAGCTACAGAAAGACACACACAGAACACAGAAGGCAAAGCCTGATCGTGACAACAATAGACAAAATATAGAAAAAAACAGCTTCATAAGGAGAGGAATCAACTGAGCCGTGGAGTTTTTCAGGAAGAAACGACCAATCAGCAAGCTCAAAATGAAAATGCTCGTTGCTAACAGTAAGCGGAGGCTAAAGCTAAATCAGACACAACGTTCAGCAGTTTAACTCGGTCAATTCTAATCGGCAATTATGGTGCAGTGGTTTTGTTTTTTTACAAACTGAAACAACAAAGCATATTTCACCTCCAATTTCTTCTCTATTGCAACAGCTGCTAAGGTTCATGGGTATTGTAGTATTTAGAGCCATCTACCAAAAGAAACTTGAAAAATTAGATGATTTCTCAGAAACTAAGTATAAATAATTTAGACGGATAGACTGTCAATCATCCTGTTTTTCAATGAATATTGAGGATATTAGTAAACATTACAACGCGAATATGAATTGGGGAAAATATTTCCGCAACCAGCGGCTCCTCTCACGTCGCAACCCCCACTCACCCATTCTACAAGCAACAGTGAGCGCGTATATCACTATTGAGTGGTGTTACGCTGAGACAGGTGTCCAGAGCTACACATGATACTGTCGAAAGCTTTTTCTTTTTACTTTTGGTACATACTGCAGTTGCCCCTACAAAGTACACACTGTTGCAAGCAGTATGCATTCATTGGGACAAACTACTTTGTAACATAATCATAGACTGTACATAAGAAGTGGACGTAGTCGTCGTGATGTCACTCGTTGGTTTGAGGACTTTTGTTTTGAAGCCTCTGATTCTGCGTTTTTGCCTGTCGCCATCTTGGGTTTTTGCAACCAGTGAACAGGAAGTGACCATATTTGGACTGAGGAGTGACGTAGAGACGCTGCATATGTCTCTGGTAGCAACCTGTCAATCACTGTGTAGCCCCGCCTTAAAGCATCCCCTGCTTTATGGTCTGTTTGACTCTAAATGGACCATAATGTACTAAATGAACATCATGCTGTATTGAAGACTTGAAACTAGAGATTGAGACCATAAACTCATGTTTACAATGTTTACTGAGGTAATAAATGAAGTCATTTTCTCATAGACGTCTATCCCACCTTTTAGCGGCCCAGTCAAATACAAAGCATTTGATTTAAATCCCTCTTATAACTGTACACCTCATAACTATTAATCTCACTGTGTAATACATCACAGTGCAGAAGCTTTGTATGACGTTTGTTCTTTTCCCTGATGACGGACCTTGAAGCTAATTCATTGATTAGTTAGAAATGATGTCGGTGAATGTACACATGTACCTCTTTGCTCCTATTTGTG